TGGTGTCTCATAATATCACCCAAGGGTGAGGTATAAAGCAGGAATAAAATAGGTCCGAGGACACTACCCTGGGGAACACCATAATGAAGCTCACGACTGGATGCGGACAAGCCACCGTTTACTTTCACAATCTGGTAACGATCAGACAAACTGAATTATGATCAGAACCACTGAAGTGCGTAGTCAACAATGCCAAAACAACACGAAAGACCATGCAAAAGAATCTGGTGATCGACTGTATCGAAGGATGCTGAAAAAAGTTTAGCGCAACGTCAAACGGCTTTGCATTGCGAGCTTGTGTTTTTGTTGTAAAATAAAATCTGTTAGGGAACCTTAATGTTTCATGTCGGGCTCCGCGGCTATAAGGCCAGTAAGGGTGGATTTCCACAGTCGCGTAATTTTCACGTGCGTACGCGCGTAAATAAAATAGAGGTGATGTATGACAGGACGCGCGTAAACGTAAAAGTTGAGCGAGGTTCAACTTTTCCGTTTACGCGTGATCGTCCATACATTCCCTTTATTTCATTTACACACGTAAAATTTACGTACGTAAGCACGTTAAAATTACGCAACAGTGGAAATCAACGTTTAGGCTTCGATTACTTTCCAAATTGGGCATGAGAAAGATATAACTTTAAATGTTTGCTTAAGGTATCATCCATCCTCAAGCACCATCCTTGCGTTGTACGGCGCTAGCGCTTTTGCTTTTAACAAATACCCCCATAAACCGTACATTTTCTGAAAGCTTAATAGTTCCAGATTATTGCCTATTTCTTTTTAAAAATCAAAATATTAACGCGATTTAGAAATGAGAAGCTTTTGTGAAAGTGGATGTCACTGTAAATTTAAGTCCAGTCCAGCCAAAAATTAACGAAAGAAGCCAATTAAGAATGCATTCGCTTCTTAACACGTTTGACTAAAAAAGCTGTTCTCAGATTTTTGTCAAGTGCGTTTGTTCTGTTGTTATAAGCAGGTGAAATTAGGGATAGCAAATCATTAGCACTACCTGTGAAAAAAATACTCTAACTCAAAAACGAAAAAAGAAATCAAAATTCGCAGATACAGGTTTTTAGAAAAACTATCTGACAGTAAGTTGGCCAAATTTCAGCCAAATTGGTTCACGGGTTGCCGACTTGGAGTTTAAAACGTACCCTCAACTAGTCCTGATTTTCATTTCCAGAAAACAGTGGAAAAAGATTATTGGCGGCGTATTACCCGTGACGAGATTATAACAGATTATAACACCAAAGCTGTCAATGTTGATGCATACCAGAGAAGGGACAACAATAGTGACACAGCAGGAAAAGTTGAAAACGAAACCCGACAAAAGATGAACAATTTATTTCAAAGGCTTTGCTCCGTTCGATCCTTTCTTTTGTCAAGAAAGCTTCATTAGTTATTTGCAACGGGCAGTTTTTATTTTCGCACCGGACAAGCCAAGTTGAGCTGCGCGCTCGTTCGATTTGAAATCACGCGTATGATTTCAGACCAAATTGCACTCCACTCAGTTCAATTAAAATCTGCGAAATTTGAAGAATATTATATGAGTAAACCCGACGCTGAGGTTTTCAATAGGATATAATTATGTCTTGAAAATCTCTTAATGAAGTACAATTTATATTTTTTTAACTTAACTGATTACATTATTCCTTTCTCCAAACCGGAAAACTAACAAGTAAACTAAAAAAACTGCACTGACAAAAGCCAAATATTCAAGGCTAATAACAGTTCGATGAACGGTACATTGATACCTAAGCAAACACATGCTAAAACGGAATAAAAGCTAAAAGAGAAAACGATATGCAAATAATCAATTTAATTGACACTTGTGCTAAGAGCCAATTACCGCTACCAACAGCTAAACTCTGCAAGTTCAGCGTATGACATTTTTCCCAGTTTATTAGTTATATTATTCATAAAAACGATTGTAAACGCCTGTTCTGTGGTACCGCTACATTGTGAATGTATTCTTGTGTTCTTTAAATTCTAGCGTTTTGTCATCCGNCACTGACAAAAGCCAAATATTCAAGGCTAATAACAGTTCGATGAACGGTACATTGATACCTAAGCAAACACATGCTAAAACGGAATAAAAGCTAAAAGAGAAAACGATATGCAAATAATCAATTTAATTGACACTTGTGCTAAGAGCCAATTACCGCTACCAACAGCTAAACTCTGCAAGTTCAGCGTATGACATTTTTCCCAGTTTATTAGTTATATTATTCATAAAAACGATTGTAAACGCCTGTTCTGTGGTACCGCTACATTGTGAATGTATTCTTGTGTTCTTTAAATTCTAGCGTTTTGTCATCCGTCAAGTAAGAGCTCTTATGTATGAGGCTATTTTACTGGTGTGTATTCACATGTAGCCGTGTGCATAGTCAGAATGATATATGTAATACTCGTATTCTTAGTAGTCCTGTAGAGTTTTATTATTTTATATTAGCAACAGAAATTCAAACTTACAGTTTCTCTAGCTCAGGAAGATTTGAGAACGCCCCAAGCGAAAACTGTGCAATTTTGTTGTTGTATAGGGATCTGCAAAAATAATTAATTTTAATATACTTCATGAGAACAATCTGATTTATATGCTACAAATTTGTATGTTCTTGAAGCCCTAATTTTCATCGGGTGAAATGGCTATTGTTCTCGGGACATTTACTTACTGCGGTGAAAGCTTCTAGGTCTGTCATATCGCTTATTGTTATTCTAAAATGCTGAACAGGAGTCTTTTTCATTGGTTAATTACCACGAACGCGTGGCATTACTCTTTATCGTGGAGTACAATTGTACAATTCAATATACTTTCATACTTATACTATTGCAATCTAGCTTGAGGTGGCACCTATAAAGCGAACCTTCAAAGAATTGTAATCTTACAGAAATGTGCGCTAAGAATAGTGAGCAACTCTACCTACGATGCCAACACTAGTCCCACCTTTAAGGAGCATAAACTTTTAAAATTTCGTGATATCCATTCGTTTCAATTAGGTTTTTTATGTTTTCACTCAAGAACTCTAAACTCCCTTCCAAATTCAATAACCTCTTCCTAATAAACAGTCAAATCCATAATTATAATGCTAGGAATGCCCACTCATTTCGCTAGCCACTATGAAGAACGAACACCAGACAGTTGTCAATTTATTTCCAAGGTCCATTAAGTTTTATAATTCGCTGAATTCTACTATAACTGGTTCGTCCTCCTCCGCTTATTTTAAAAGAAAGCTTAAAGAATTTTTTTGTCAGTACATATTAGCTTCAGTATGGCTCTAATTAGATTATTAGATTAATTAGATTAACATGCGTTTGTGTGTGTGTGTTTGTGCGAGTCCGCGGTCAAAATAAAGTTAGCCATTATAAGCCTATATTGTAATTATATTATCAAGACTAGTTTATCCTAAGTTAAGGAGACCTGACTCATTATAAGCCTCGTGGCCTCGCCCTTTTGCTTAGGAAATTAGTCTCCCGGACATACGTGTCGGACGCGCAATAAAGAGATTAAAGTCAAAAAAAGAGGGACGTTTAATAGACAACGATAGCAAGAAATATTTATCTTTAAAGTTGTGCCGCGCTATATAAAGAGAATTAGAGGCTGTATGTAAATCAAACAGACAGTCGACAATGGTGGCGAGCTTATTTCGCTGATTCCTTAGCAGAAAAAAATTTTGCTATCCAGAATTCGAATTAAGTAACTCAATTCGACATCGTCGACATTTAATGGCATCTTAATTTATTGTTGTTTATTGTTTTGTTTGCCATAAGGTATACAAAGCAAAAATTAAACAAATCGAATTATTTAAACTCTCATGGCGAGGAGGCCCAAGAGAAGCCACCGGGCTTATAAGGAATGGGCTCCCTCAGTTAAATAATTAGAACAAAACATTATCATAATTACACATGGGAAAATTTACGACACTAACCCCTTAACAATTTAGCAATGATTCTTAACGGAGCTGATATATGCATTAAGTAATAGTAATTTTACATGTAATTACTTTGAGAGCAAATGATAGATATACGATCAAATTTAAGCGACTTTGTGTTTCAAGACTAAAAGCTAAAGACTGCAGCAAAATTTTGCATTTTTAGAATATGACTTTTTCTAAGGCTATCGGTCAAAACTGTACTGACAAAAGCCAAATATTCAAGGCTAATAACAGTTCGATGAACGGTACATTGATACCCAAAGACATGCCAAAAAAGGAAATGATAGAAGCTTCAATTTAAGAACCATACAAAAATATTGTCAGCCTGAAATCGGCAAAAAAATAAAAATATTCGGCCTGCGCCAGAAAAACAACATTTTTATAAAAAAAAGAAAGAGTTCACATAAAAAAAATCGACTGATAAGGTCTGTTCGTGTAGTACTGCTACAGAGTGTAAATTTCAGCTAAAACCTGTACCCGTACACATAACTTACGTTACTCGTGTGTAATTATATGTAGCTGTGTACCTTTTATCATATCCATGATACTCAATATACTTAGCACCCGTGTAGTGTTTTAGTCTTGTTCATTCAGTAACGAAAAAATAATACAAAAATTTAAACTTACAGATCCGTTAACTTAGGGAGATTCGAAAACGCTCCAGGCAAAAGCTGTGCAATTTCGTTGTTGTAAAGTTTCCTGCAAAATAAGTTATTTAAGGCATTCACGATGATACTTGACCGGTAGTACATCAACTGTAACTAGTGTTGAGTTTCAGCTTTTTACCCGGCCTTCCTTTCAGGAAGAGACGGGTATAGTTCTGGGCTTGGTTTTTCCTTCGTCGTCGAATCGCCCTCTAGTCTTTAAAGCGCATGCCTGTACTGGCGGATTATCACGTGATCGATTTCCGGCAAATTCATTGGCTTAGAGGCAAAATCACCTTGACATGTTGTCGAGAACAGGCAGTTTTTTGTCAGTCCGTAGCTTCAACGTTGTGGTTTTGTTGCCTCTGTGAGAGATCGACAATTATTTTGGTCGAAATGTTTAGTGATATGTGTTGTCTAGAAGATAATGTATCCCGGAACTGTTAGACAAACACAGTGGCTCGATCCGTTTAATCGAGATCGGCGTTGCGATCGACGCTGGTTGCGAGAAGAAGACATGCTAAAAAGGTGGGTAATGTTCACTTTTTATGTTTAGTGCAAGTCACGAGAATTTATATAGCAGTTGAAGAAACACTATTGGGCTTTCTTTTGGCGAGTAAGCGTGTACCGAGGTGCAAGGAAGAAGCAATTTTACATAAACGTATGGACCGTTTTTGTGCTTGATTGTACAACTTGACTGTTCGATCTGTACAAACACTCAAGTCACCTTAAACACCTTAGAAATTTTATGCTTTATAGCTTTTATCGCAAAACAGTAAGACAAATTAGAAAATTTAAAAGCAAAGAAATTGCTTTGATTTAGTAATTTAGCATAGTTTGCACCTAGTTGCAGGAAAGTGGCAGTGAATTACCGTTTCGGTGCATTAATTTTCATTCATCAAAACAAACAAATCTAACTGTTCATCGCAGAAGTTTGTGCTTGGTCCAAGTCTCGTGCTTCCCGGCTGTCTCGGTATAAAAACGGAAACTCACTATATCGATGGAAAGAAATCATCTTTGACTTTTTTTGGCATATATGGATTAACTTGTATCGAGCTCGCACGGAAGCGGCAGGTTTGTAAAGCACGTAGAGTTGTTTGATGCTAAAATTCGACATGATTTTCACAACATCTCACTGTTAAATTAACTCAAAGATTACATGTAAGCTTATAGCTTTTTAAAAAATGGGCGATTGCTTACTGTCGAATTTCGATCTTGCAAAACTCCATTTTGATCGATCCAACATTATTAGAAATTTCAAAATTATCTATCAGTGATCTATGCTAGAAATTTTTCTCTTTGCTGTGTTCAGCTACTGTACATTCAAACTTGCAATTAAAAGGATGGACAAATCGATTATAATATTCTGTATTTTACGTTGGTTTTGGGATTATGCTCAACGAGGCACACAAGGGTATACCTTTGGGTTTTCTGTGGTTTCTTCTTTGCTTGTTGTTGAATCAATAATAAGGCAATGAAATATTGACATATCCTTTAATTATTTACTGTTTTTTTCAGAGAAGATGAACTTGATCCCAAATCAAACGATAAGTGCAGCAACACTTTTCGAAGTTTTCTGATGATGAATTAACTAAAAGAAGATGCCGATAGTTTCTCTTTGAAGTACCTGTATCAGAGTGACAATAATATGAATAAAGATCTTACTCATGGGAAGATCTGGGTTTTTTTACTCTGTAGTAATTTAGCACGTACAATAAACACTTCAGCAACCAGAACAAATTTAAAATCCTGGCATAATTATTCCAACCATTATGTTCCCTTCCTTTTCATACAGGATGTTATTTCAAAGACTTTTCCCTCAAAATATTAGTTTACTACCTAAGATTCTGACTGAAGCTCATGCTAATTTGAAGAAAAAGAAAACTAGCTGCAACACTACTTTGAAGTATTATGCAGTCATGGTCAAGTACACCTCTTAGGAACGTTCGAGTCGAATTTCCAGTCTGATTTGCTAGCCGGTAGTATTTTTTTTCCATTTATTCATTGTCAAAGTTCATATGGGTTGTGGTGCATTACTGCATAGTGCACATTTCCCCCCGGCACTCTATCATTTTATGAACTAAAAGAAGGCCGGGTTCACGCACTCGTGCGTCTTGTCTTTTAAAGACTCGCCTGAATTTCTCGTGCACGTACTTTGCATTCTCCAAGCTTTTGCTCGAAATATTTAATAAAATGTGGACAAGGTTAAACAGCTGAAAAATATCGATAAAAAACTGAAGACCGTATTTCGTAGTAAGTCATTTCGTTGTCCGCTTAGTTTTTGCTAATTTCGCGACGAAGAAAGCAAAGTAATATACAGTTAGGCTGATAGAGAGATAGAGGAAATTCCTGCAGGCGATTTTTCCCGTTAACAATTGTTGTCCCATGGACACTCAACGTATCATCATAAGGGAAAAAGATATGCAAATAATCAAATTTAATTGACACTTGTGCTAAGAGCCAATTACCGCTAACCAACAGCTAAACTCTGCAAGTTCAGCGTATTGCATTTTTCCCCGCTTATTAGTTATATTATTCATAAAAACGACTGTAGACGCCTGTTCCCTGGTACCGCTACATTGTGAATGTATTCTTGTGTTCTTTTAATTCTAGCGTTATGTCACCAATGAAGTAAGAACTTGTCAATTTATGAGACTATTTTACTGGTGTGTATTCACATGTAGCCGTGTGCATACTCAGAATGATCTTTGTAATACTCGTATTCTTAGTAATCCTGTAGAGTTTTATTCTTTTTATTAGCAACAGAAATTCAAACTTACAGTTCTTCTAGCTCAGGAAGATTTAAGAACGCCCCAGGCGAAAGCTGTGCAATTTTGTTGTTGTATAGGGATCTGTAAAAATAAG